CTCTCTCTCTCTCTCTCTCTCTCTCCCTACCGTTAAGTAACTTGTGCATTGTTTTACTTACTTGTTTTTGATGTATCCGACTGAACTACAAACTTTCCAGTGATGTCTGTGAGAAAGGTATATTCACTCGACAAGCTCGCGCATCTGTGCCGCCGCGCGCTCAATGTACTCAGCGTGCTTTGTTTATCAGCTCACACACATCAGCTATACAGGCGTTAATACTGAATGTTTAACGTTATATTCATTGCATACATATACTTCGTAGTAGACATCCTTAACTCCATTCTGCTGTCTGTTGTTCTGTTGTCGATGTTTCTTTGTCTGAATATGGCGCTTATCACATGCTGTGTGGTATCGGCGTTTGGTATCGGGCATTTTAACGAGTACGAGTACAGGAGCTCAGTATCGGGCCCGATACCGATACCAGTATCGGTATCGGTGCATCCCTAATTCGTATGCATTTACTCATTTACTAACTGCTTGTTTTCTTTAAAAAAAAAAAACTCTAGCTTTTCTAATCTTTTTGTATTCTATTTGTTTTCTTTTGTTTATTATACAATTAACAAAAGCAAAAAAGGCCTCTATAACACTAGCTTGCTCTTTTCTTTTTCTATTCTATCCATTTTCTTTTTATTTATTATATAATAAAAAAAAACCTACGTGTACTGCATTAAGCTAACTGAGACTTGTCATAGCACTTGCATATTGCTCTTTTGTTGATTTTGATTGCTTCCATTGTCCTCATTTGTAAGTCGCTTTGGATAGAAGCGTCTGCTAAATGACTAAATGTAAATGTATTTTATGTATTTGATTTATTTTTAAAATCAATGCTGTTAAAGGCAGTAGCGCCATCCCCTGACCATTATAATGTGACGAATTCATAGCTCATTTAAAGGTAATGTCACCGCTAAATTAGAGTAATTTGGACAGTCACGCTAAATGGAGTCGAGGAGTCTGAGTCGACTCCGAAAAACCTGGAACCAAACACCCCTAATTTACACTTCAAATTAGGTAGTCTGTCATCGATGACAGTAGCTCATTGGAAAAGGATTGAAAATGCCCTTAATTTTGTTTGTGCTAATAAATGCTGCTGCCTGCCAGCTGCAATCACCAATAAAATGTTGTTCTATATTTTTTTCTATATCGTCATAAATATCGTTATCGCAAATATTCTTGAAATATCGTGATATAATTTTGAGGCTATATCGCCCACCCCTATTTCTCAGTATAAGTCTACAAGTCTTAATTATTCTATCTGCCTCAGGTATAAACTCATTGTGAAAAATATTTGATCATTACAAGGTTTACAAAAATATTTGATGATATACAAGGTTTCACCCTGACCACCCACTCGAGAGGAGAACCCTCATCCTGTTATTATGTGCATACATGAATGCACACATGCATTCAGATCTGCTGAACTGTAGTTGTAGGACTGGATAAACTGAACTGTGTGAAGATTTTACGGCACTGATGACAGACATACAGGAAGAAAACAATGTGGGTGTACTTCAGATGTGTACTTCAGGAAACAGGAACATACTATTTGTAATATTTATTCAGTGTCACATCTTGTGGTTTTTGAATGCAAAGCAAATGCAGATTAAGACATGTATTTGTAGTTAGTAGACCAAGACTGAATGTGAGAATACATTTAATATGGCTAGTTTGTGGTATTTGCTAAATGACATGGCGTGCAAGAACGTACATGTAAGCTTTTAAAAGCTACGAAGCTGTATTTTTCAATATTTTTATTAAAATGATATAATAATATAATATAATTTCAAAATGAATTTGTTCTTCATATTTTCATTTTGGCATATTTGCATAATTTTTATTGAAAAAATTAATAAATAAAAAAATGCATTAAAAATAATATATAATATACAATATTTATCTTTGAAATTCTTTTCATATTTAAATTTTGGTGGTTCAAAATGAATACTAATGTATTTTGTTTTATTAATACAAATGTTTATTGCATTATTTCTAATAAAAATATAGAATTTTTTATGCTATTGTTTTACTGGTTTAATACAAAGAATATAAGTACTGAAGAAGAAAAACAACTTTAAGCAACCAAGAAAAACTATGACATGACATGTCTTACAGTTTACCATGTAGTACAGGGCTCGACAATAAGGACTGCCCGATGGCCCGGGGCCAGCGTGAAAGACGTTCGGGACAGTAGACGGATTTGTCACTTGCCCGATCGGGCCACTGCAGCATCGTCACGACAAATACATACAAATGTATGGCAAAATACCCGTCCTGGCAAGTAACTTTGTAGCTTTAACAATGATTAATCTATATTTAATTTATACAGTGGAGAACAGATGCACCGATCGACCGTCCATTTTTTGTTTTATTTCAGACTATCTTCTGTTCCGTGCTTGCGCACAAACTGCACTACAATAATTTTCCCAATGGCCATTTGTGTGGAACTATTACGTTATTATTATACTTAGTCTGTAAACGGCCATTAACCGAGGCCAGAGATGCTGAAGACGGACACAAAGAGGAGAAAATACTGTAGCAGACAGAACCAGATCACTGTACACGATGCATGAAATATAGGACGAAAATCCAAACCTTGAATTTTATGAATGTGTTTCTGAGGGGAACGGAACTGACTGTTTTCAGAAATGGCGTTTTCTTTTCATTTTGTCTCTGTATGATGCATTTAAAGATAACAAGATCATACAAGATAACAGATCAAACCAATGATAACAGCAACTATTTTATTTTTTGTGGCAGGGCCAGTGAAAGTGTTGGCAGGGCAAGTAACAATTTGAACCACTGGCCCAACCCGGCCAATAGAAAAAATCCTTAGTGTTGATCTCTGTAGTATATTGCAGTTTGTTATAAAGTTACCAACCACTTGGCGAGTAAGTTTCATTCTCCGTTTTATATTCCTGCCAACGTCTGTTTGTAGTCACATTTGGTGTTCATTTTTGACCCTCAGTCTTTATAAATATACTATATATGTTCTGTGCTATTTTCTTGTTTGTTTACAGTATGACTGATTTTACTCATAGTTTGCACAGAAGAGCAGATTATCAGAATTCATTTGTGTACTTGATCCACTGAATTAATTCATTTCATTTTGTTGTTTTCTACTCTCAGGATTTACGGGTGAAGCTGGAGCATGAGCGAGAGAAACGGTGAGTCGGAACGTTCTTATTATTTCTGCAGCTCTGCAGTCCCGACTCTGATCTCCTTCCTTTCGTCTTATCCCGGCTCTCGTTACGCCATTTCTAAGATCTCTCGGTACAGGGAAGAACGGAAAATATGCCAAGCTGCCCAAAAGAACCGGAACATTCCTATAAAAGAATTTTGACATTTCGATGCGGCGTTTCACCCACACTCTGGTACAGTTTGGCAGACGCAGGCAGAGGAAAGAGGAGGTGAAGCCAAGTGTTTGAGCTCAATGGCACACCCAGTATTAATTTTCAATGTCCTGTAGGTCATCCATACACCCACACACAGAACATGTCATTTTTTCCCAGCTCAAGACTGCCAAATGGCAACATGTGAGTCTTTGCAAAGTATATCCATCTGTGTTTTAGCAAACGTAACGTCTTACTAATGTACTCATAAAAAGCTGGTATTTTCCCTCATATCAAGCCAGTTTCCGCATAGGAAGAATCTATGACATTGACGAAGCTTTGTTTACAGGAAGAAAGTGAATTAACGTTATTGTCAGTCAGTACCACAAAGCCCTGATGCGTCCTGAGAGAAGTCACACTTTGGTCTTAAAGATCCCCAGAGGTCCGCCGTCTGTGTGAAATGCCTCGGTGGGTTATGTCACAGGACGTTGGCGCAGTATCACACACTGCATTTAAGGTGACAGGCAGCCGGGTGTGCTGCTTTCACAGCTTTAATTGGCTGCTGTGGCACAAAATCTTTGTGTTTAACTCTCTTCTGTTCTGCCTCGGCTTTAAGCAGAGATGCATGAGGAAGACTAGTGCAGTAGTGGATAAATCAATGAAAGGAATTGGGTGGCTGTTGAAAACAGCATCCCACCTTTAATCAGAATAGCCATTCGCCTTCATGTCACGTCGTTTTACTCTAGGAAAAAAGTTTTTATTTCCAAGGACCCCCAAATATATTGAATATGAAGGTGTACAGACCCATTCATACTCATTATAAAAACAAATTTTTGACTTTGTAATCGTATTGTATTAACTTATTAAGCAAATGGTTAAAATATTAACTGGAGAATATTTATTTTGCATATCTTTTACATAAGGAATTAGCATACAACATTTTCTCCACTTACTGTTACAATATTATAAAAACATTTTCTGTTCAATTCAAATTTATTTGTGTAGTATTTTTCACAATAAATATCATTCCAAACTCGCAAGAAGAGGTAAACGCTTACAAATACATTCTGGTTGCTTTTTTATACAAAGCAATTCGGTTACAAGGTTTATTTTTTCTCTCTCAAGTTTTCCGTAACCCCCCAGCATCCCCTCATGGCCCCCCTGACTTGCTTTAAATGGACTTTGTTTTTAAGGAAGCTTAACATCTTGGCATTTCCTTAACTGGCCAGGACTCTGTATATATCCCTTCTCTCATATACAGTATTTCTTCACTAAGAGCAAAAATTAAAATGAGGGACAAATTAGTATTAAAATCCGTCTGTATATTATTGTTTGAGTAAACAATGATATCAGTGAATCTTAATAAACCAGCCTGGCTAGATGGTGGTATTTCCATCCACTCTCATGAATATGCATAACAGTTTTTTTTTTTCCACTATCCAAATTGCACTATGCACTGGCTTATATACATGCAGCTTAAAATAAATCAGGTTTTTAATAAGAAGGTGCACTACCATTCAAAAGTTTGGGTCTGAAAGATTTATTTTTAATTGATACTTTTATTAAGGAAAGATGCATACAAATGATCAAAAGTGACAGTAAAGATTTTACATTGTTACAAAAGATTTCCATTTCAAATAAATGCTGTTCTTTTGAACTTTTTGAAAGAATTCTGATAAAAATCACTGTTTCCAGAAATATTTATAGAATATTAAGTAACACAACTGTTTTCAACATTGATAATAATAATAAAAAAATGTTCCTTCATCAAATCAGCATATTCAATGATTTCTAAAGGATCATGTGACACTGGAGTAATGATGCTAAACTTTCAGCTTTGCCATCACAGGAGTAAATTACATTTTAAAATACTTTCAAATAGAAATCAACTATTTTGAGATACAATACAGTACTACGATATTACTGTTTTTATGACCCCAGCCTTTTGAACGGTAGTGTACAGCTAAATCTATTCAACTATATATTTCCACAACAACATAGTAATATCACTGTGCTTTTTTGTTAGTGCCATTAATGTTGTTTTCATTGCATTACATCAGAAAGTTGTAAAATGTACCTTGCATTAAACTTGTATGCGTATAACTCCATATCTCACAACACACATTATAAATAAACACACTTGCACCTACAGTAATAAAAAACACATCAGAACAGGCATTAGTTAACAGACCAGCCTAGTTGGACACACTCAAATCCGTCTTCCTCTGGCAGCGACTGCAACACCGAGACAGGAAGGAGGAGATCGCCGCGTGCCATGCCAAGCGTGGAGAGACGCGGCCAAACCGAGGAGCTTATCTGTGCACACCGAGTTAGGAAAATCATCTCGTACTCTACATCCTGCATTTCTCCGGTCTTCCACTATGATTTTCTTCCATCACTATCTCCCTCATCGGCTAGTCAGTGTAAACAGAGCCATCGCTCAAAACACAAGCAGCTTCATCTACAGAAAATCTGACTGTTAAACAACATACAGCTGATCTCAAATCAGCATAAAAGCTTGATTTCACCCATGACGGATGTCCCTAGTTGTCCTTATTTAAACTTCTTTAGATGAGAACCAAACAGCTGTCATTGTTGGAGATACAAAAACCACTAATTGCTAAAGTCTAAATTTGTTTGTTAAAGTTAAAGATAACAGCTCTCCAGAAGTAGTAGATATGAAGTGCTGTGTATATGCATGCCAAAATTTGGCTGGTGTGCAAAACTTAAGAGGAAATGGGATTTGTTTTTTTTGGATTTCTTTTTTAAAAGAAATGTAGCAAGGATGCATTAAATTGACCAAAAATGACAATAAAAACGAGAAGTTTCCATTTCAAATAAACATTGTTCTTTTGAACTTTCTATTCATCAAAGAATCCTGAAAAAAAAAATGAAAATGGAAATGAAAAATTAAATGTTTTCAAAATTGTTGCATAATCTAATTTCTGAATGATGATTTGTATTCTTGTAAACTTTGATACAAAAACCACTAATCGCTAAATTCACAAATAGTTTATTAAAGTTAAAGATAGCGGTTCTTCCAAAGTTTTGTTTTAAGATATTAAGGTAACACTTTATAATAAGTTTCCATTTGTTAACATTAGTTTACTACATTAGTTACATCTTAATGTTAATTAAAATATTTACGAATACATTATTAAAATCAAATTTTTGATCTGTTAGTATTATTTAATGGATCTGGGCTATTAACTAACAATGAACAGTTGTATTTTTATTCATTACAGTTTTTAATTAAAGCAAAGATTAATAAATACTGTAACATATGCATTGCTCATTGTTCCTTAGTGTTAGTTAATGCATTAACTAATGTTAACTAATGGGACTTTACTGTAAAGTGTTACCGAAATTGATACTTGTATGTAAAAAGTATTATACTTTTTTTATAATACTTTTTATTAAATTGATCAAAAGTCACAGAAACATTGTCAAAAAAGATTGCAATGTCAAATAAATGCTGTTCTTTCTATTCTTGTAGACTTTGATACAAAAAAAGTCACAAGTTGTTTATTAAAGATAATGCTTCTTCAAAAGTGATAGATATGAAGTGCTGTGTGTGTGCGGCAAAATTTGGCTGGTGTGCTAAACTTTGGAGGAGGAGGGGAAAACATGCTTCCTGCTACTTCCAGCGCTGCTCCACTTTTTTTCCTCTTTCCTCTCAGGAAGCGCTCCATCTGCCTTTGTGTGCGTTGTGATGTGGGCCCCGGTGTTGAAACAGTGGTCCGCTCCGCTTGATTAGGCCAAACTCACACTCATGCACATTCAAACTCATCATGCTTGCCTTGCATTAACATCATGCATACACACAAACCAATTTGCACTCAGTTCCTTTTTTCTCTCGCCCCACACGTTGACGCACACTCTAAACACAGCCATGTTTGTTAAATAAACACAGACACGGTTTGTGGTCTGTCCTATGAGTGAATACACCATAAATGGCTGTAGAAGTATGGACTCGCACATCAGCGGAGACGCCTTTCCGTATGCTGATTAAGGATTCTGCAACGCCCTTCATCACCTCTGTTGCTATGGCAACGACCCCCAATCTCAGGATGTGACCCATGATTGGAAGGGTGCCTTCATGCACTCCACAGTGCCATGTTTACATATTGTTTACGTATGGACAGCAAAACTAAATGAAAGGAATGTCCGTTGTACTTCTTGCAGGTGTCTTAAAGTTGTTTTGGTTTGACCAGACTTTTTCTTCTCTTGCTTTAGAATTATTCCATTCCAAAGGCCGCTGAAGTTCAAGGATCTGCTTCAGAAGGTGACAGAGGCCTTCGGCCAGCAAATGGACCTATACTACACTGATAAAGAGGTGGTGCATTGATCTTAGTAACTTATTGACATTTTTTGTAGTGATAGGTCAATATATATCAGCCAGGACAATTAATCGGCCCATATTTAGCCATTTTGGCATTATCTACATCTGTAATAACTGTGCCTGTTGGGCTTGTTAACAAAAATGGTAGTTTGTTTCACTTCCAAAATTTCACTCCGTGAATAATACAGATACTTTTCTGTTTTTCAAATGTCTGTTTAGTGCATTTTTAACAAATATAAGATATAAAAGTTGTAAATAAGTTACAAAATTACATTGATTTTAAAAACTATTTATCATTATCATTTAATTTTATTATATACAATTTTAGGAGTGTGACAAATTGACAATGTACGATGTATAATGAAGAAATCTTTCATTAAAGCAAAAGTGGGATGTATCAAATACCAAATTTGACTTTTCAATCAGATTGTTATTCTTTTCATATGCACTGCTGTTCAAAAGTTGAGGTCAGTAAGATTTTTTTAGTTATGTTTATTTAAGAAATGAATACCTTTTCATCTAGAATGCATTAAATTGATCAAAAGTGAGAGTAAGAACATTGATCATTTTACAAAAAAATTCTTTAAAAAAATTCTTGTTTTAAATAAATGCTGTATTTTTGAACTTTCTATTCATCAAAGAATCCAGAAAAATGTATCAGACTTTCCACAGAAATATTAAACAGCACAACTGTTTTCAACATTGATAATATTAATATTTCTTCAACACCAAATCAGCATATTGCAATGATTTCTGAAAAATCATGTGACACTGAAAACTGGAAATAAATGACATTAAAAAAAACGGAAATGGGAAACAGGTATTTCAAATCATAATAATATTTCACAATATTACTATTTGTCAATATTACTAACATAAAAAAATCCTATTGACCCCAAACCTTCGAATGGCAGTGTAATGAAAATGATTGAGTTAAATTATAAAAGAATGAAAAATGGGAACAGGTCTCAGATTTTTGCACCACAGTGTATATCAATTTTATACTTTCCACCTGACTTTGATCTCAGGATATCGGCTTTGACACTACATATCAATTACTCTTCAGTTACTTGCAATCGGATTAGCGTTTATACTTTGCAGTAAGGATCTGTGCATTTCATTTATGCCTCTTTTTTTAAACTCTGCATTTTATTAATAATCTGTCTGGTTTTAGATGTTGGTGGCTCTGAAGTGTCAGGAGGATTTGGACAGAGCAGTTCAGGGATTGAGCTCCAGCTCTGGACTGAACAACCTACTGAGAGTGATTCTGAAAACACCTCCCAACAACCAAGTGAGTCCAAGCCAAAACAAAGCAAAGCGACCCAAACTAAACCCAAACCAAAGCCAAAAGCTAAACCCAGATGGAAACCCTAACCTGTACATGAACTAGTTCTCAGACCACCACCTTACAACTACATATCCTTTACCTTTTTAAGACCTTTGTATTATTTAGGTAAAATAAAGAACGCTACATTTGGTTAAATTTACTATTATTATATATTTTGTTACATTATATTACAATTAATTTGCAATATTAATATTAATAATTAAGTTATGAATTATAATATTATAATAATTAATACAAAATATTTTTTAGGAAAATGAAAAACATTCTGTGGGAAAGAAAAACCTTAATTCTGGATATATTCTCTGTATATACATTTCTTAATGTCTTACATAATTTTGCCTCTGAAGTTGTTTTAAGGTTGTTTAGACGTTTTTTTTTGGGAAAACAAACAACTGTATTTTTCCAGGTTTAGCAGAATTCCTCATATATGTCCACCTCTCCACAGTTCCTTCAGGTGAGCGGCCAAGACAAGCAGAGCGAGATGAGGTCATCCAAGTCCCTGGGAGATCTCAAAGCCTCGGTTCTCAAAGGCTCTGAACGAGCGCGCAAACACTCTACAGGTGCGTCACGCTGGCTCACACACACACACACACACACACACCCCTAACACACACACAACAGTCAAAACGGCAGTATATAATGGCTTTATCATATGCTTTGTTTGCGCTTTCTCCATCAGGACTGGAGAATGGTATCAAAGAGCTCAGTGAACATCAGGGCTGTTAGAGAAAGCCTGGAAAAATCATTTGGATGTTTTGAATGGCAGAGGAGTGGATTAAAATCATCAGTTTGATACCACTTCCCTGTGCGACTGCATTTACATAATATTTGGCTAGTTGGAAACGGTTCGCTTGAAATGCATATACCAAATAAATTGATTGCTTGAACGCACATTCTGGAATATCATTGTGGGTGCTTGTTTACATGTCAGTCATGTAGAATCCTTTTCTCAGAGACGTTACATTAGTATTTTTGTACCTCCTTGTGGATTTAGTACTGTTTTTGCGTTCTAGACCAATACGGATACTGTTTTTGAAATGTCTTTATCCGTCAAACATTTTAGTCTGCATGTAAATGCAGTCAATTAAATGCTCGTTTCATCTTGTTGAATGCAAATTCATGCAGGAAACTGATGACAGAAGTCATATTTGACTGATGTAGCTTTTAGGACATCGTGAGGACAATCAAGGGTATCTCTAATCTGATTCAGGCTCTATCAGGAGCTGTGTTTTGTAAAGTCATTTCATTGTCAGTCTCAGATTGTAAAGACTAGTGGAACGAGTTTGTAGTGTTTGAAAAGGCATCTCTCAAGGCTTTTTGCTCTGTCAGCAGTAGAAGAGTGTAAATTCGCATGCATACACCCATTTGTCATGTCTCTTTCAACATACAAATGCACACCAGTGACACAAAACATGTTTGTTTGTCTGCAGTTTCTTACATAAGTGTTTTAAATCTGGCAGCATGGAATTCATCAGGTGGTATTAATTAGATATAGGTCTGATCAGGTCATTAACACATTATTCAGTAGCTAATAAACAGTGAGAGAAGTGAAGTTCATAACATGAATATTATACAAAACAAGAATATTCTCCAAATAGAGCGTGTATAGAGCAAAACATTTTTCCGAGATAGAGAGCTCAGTGACGCACTCTTTCTCACCATCTCAGTTTTTTCAGTGTTTGGCACCATCGCTTTGTTTTCACACCTGAGAGCGAGACGGGAGAGAGGAGATAGCTCGCTTCCTGTTGCATACTGAATGATGGAGGTTGTAGTTTTTTTCTGGCTGAATGTCAAGGATATATTTTTACAGATTTCAGTATGTCAGAGCAGTCAGCATTTGTCATCATAATTGGGTGAAGGAGAAATACTTGTGCACTGCCTACATGCATAGCATGTTTTGTATGATGTTGTGCAGTTGGTTAATAAAAATAGCATTTAAAGAGGCTATGTCATGAAAAACTGGATGCTTTTTTTAAATACAAAAATGGTCATGGTTATGACATCACATTCATTAGAACATTAACATGACCTCCCACATTTACTGGGGATATCATCACATATTTAAAGGGGTCCTATTATGCTTTTTCACTTTTTCAACTTTAGTTAGTCTGTAATGTTGCTGTTTGAAAAAAGATCTGCAAAGTTACAAAGCTCAAAGTCCACTTCAAAAGGAGATATTTTATTTCCACAAAATAAAAAAAAATCACTTTTCAAAAACTACAACGAACGACTCGTTTGGACTACAACGCATATTTTCCGGGATTTGTGATATCACAAATACCGACGAATGGGACAAGACCTGGTTGAGCTGCACTAGAGAAGGCAACAAGTGTTATCACTATGTCGGAGACACGCTAGCTTTCCCAAGGCAGATGAACTTAGAGTGGTTACAATCATCCGGGTTTAAATCGCTGTCAAATTGATTTGATATAGACGCAATATTTACACTGAAGCTTGCAGGCGGCTATGGTAAGGGGCGTGACATTTCCCAACCAGGTGCTGAGTGCTGCCAATCACAACACACACTGGCCCAACTAACCAATCACAGCACATTTCGTATTTCAGAAGGCGGGCCTTCCTTTGATACAGGAACTGTTCGAGCCATTCATGCCAGACTGGGGAGAGAGGTGTTGTAATGTAAAATAGCCTGTTCTAGTACACCCCCAAAACAAAATCAAGGCTTTGTAAAAGAGCGTAATAGGACCCCTTTAATATTAAACAACTTGGCCCATCCTTATGAATGCCTTTTACTATACCATAACATAGTTCACTTATGTATAGAAGTCTTAAAGGTACAGTAACAAAACAGCCTGTTAATACAGCCGCGGGGGGGGGGTCATTGTCTAAAATATTTTTTTTCAGGATTCTTTGAAGAACAGAATTTAAAACTTTTGAATTAGAAATCTTTTTTAACATTATAAATGAATTTACTGTTATTTTTAATCAATTTTAATATCATTAAATATATTTAGTATGAATAATTTCTTTTACAAAAAAAATCTCAGGAGTCAGTAAGGTTTTTTTCCCCTAAAGAAATGGATACTCAATTTGTCAACAATGTCAGTAAAGATGTTTACATTGTTACAAAAATAAATAAATAAATAATCTATTTCAAATAAATGTTGTTCTTTTGAATTTTGTATTCATCAAAGAATCTTAAAAATGTATAAATGTTTCAACAAAAATATTAAGCAGCACAGCTGTTTTATTAATAATAATAATAATAATAATAATAATCATCATCCATTATGTTGCACAGGAATAAATAACATTTTTAAATGTATTAAAATAGAAAACATTTAATTAAAATCATAAAAATATTTAACAGTATTCCTGTTTTTACTGTACTTCTAATCAAATAAATGCAGCTTTGGTGAGCATAAGAGACTAAAAATATCTTACCAACTCCAAACCTTTAAACAGTATTGTCTACACACACACACACACACACACACACTATATTATAATATATATAATAATATATAAACACTGAATTAAACTGTTATTATTCAATTGTTAGATTTAAAATTGTAGGGTCTTCAAAACAAGCTCCACTGGTGGCTTAAAGGAGAAATCAAAGAGTACAACATTTAAAAATGACCTATTTTTGGCAGCAAATTCACAGTGAAGCCAATAAGCAGAGCAGGCTGCATCATCTCAGACTTCACTGCATGCAGTGA